ATAACAATAGAATCAACTAGATAAACACATTCATTCAAACCCTAAAATATTCATACATACATACATACATACATACATACATACATAGTAAACCCTAAAACTAGGGTTTTGATTTTAGAACCCCTAGTACCTTAGAGGACTACTCCATAAAGGAGGGAAGAAGATACATAGAAGAAATTGATGAAGACTTGAGGTTGAGGAAGATGCATCCTCTCTTCTAGCTCTTTCCTTCAGCTTCGCTCTCTTCTCTCTCTCTGAAATCGAAAATTCTATCTCAAAATAGGCTCACTAAATAAGGGGGAAGGAGTCTCCTATTTATACGAAATCAGAGGACGGACAAGTTCGCAGCCATAAGTGTAGAGATCACGGGCGGGATCTTCAGAGGTGAGGTCGCGATCTTGAAAAGCAGTCGTATTGGCCTTCGAAATTGAGGAGATCGCGAGCTGAATTCGCCGTCGCGATCTGTGATTCGAGGTCGCGATCTTCCTCGCGGTCAAAATGCACTATGGTCGTGATTCGACTAGGGAAACTCTCTGTTTCTCCTCGGCTCCTTCTTCGCGAAGTTCGCGCCCTAAGCCCTCCAATTCACGGTCGCGATCTTGGGCTTCCAGGCCACGATCTTCAGCTTGACTTCGTCCAGAATCATGGCTGTGATCTTCACTTCTAGGCCACGATCTCCAGTCTTCTGCCCCCTTGCTACACTTGTGACCTTGTTTTGAACCTAATTCGCATATATCGCCAAACACACCCTAAAATCACATTGAATTCAAATAGGAACGGAATAGGGATGAAATTAACGATGTTTAAGCATTTATGCACATGAATTAGCACAAAATAAACCTCAATATGAAGGGTAAATAACACCAATTTAGGTGTTATCAAACTCCCCCACACTTAGGCGTTTGCTTGTCCCCAAGCCAACCTACTAAAACCTATTGCAACATGATAGACAAATCAATGGGGAATGCACTCTAGTTCTTCATTGCATAAAGAAGAGTAGACGGAGATGAATGAACGTTACTATCATCTTACTGTGCAAGCACAAACTCTCGGTGAGGACCATACCCACTACCTTAGGCTGAATATTCAAGGTGTGCTCCGGGGGATTCTCAAACACAAATAAGCACAAGAATTCTCAAAGGTGATTTATATTCTCTCTTACGATTAGAAATTATCATTTATTGCTATCCTTTTTCAACATTGGCGCGCATTGCACCGAGCTTTTGAAATTCTTTTGCAGTTCTATGGCCAAGAGCGGATGAATCATAGCCTTCCCTTTCAAGTTCACATGTGGGGAAGTTGATGGGCGGATTCATCTTAGCTCGAGCACCACTTCCAAGCCTGCACTCCACATTGGGTTGCCACACATGTTGATTGTTGAGTATAAACGAGAGCTATGAGGTCTCATGAATCGCTAAAATGTACTTTGGACCTTGGTATACGATTTCGTGAGGAGGAAAGATGCATGGGGGATTTAAGTAGTGAAAGATGGTCGGGACGTGGTAAAGTTATCCATTCCCCAAGCATATCCTCAAAGAGCACTCCGAATCCGTGAGGATTGGTTGCTTCTCACATGAGCCTCATTTTCAAAAGATTTTTCTCACTTTTCTTTCTTTTCTAATGCGATAAAATCCTTACAAGCTTCGAGTTCAAAAATCAAGCAAAGCAAAAGAGAATCCCGCACACATTTTCTTCCTAAAATAGCACATATTATCGACTCACAAATTAGGAGATACTTGATCTAGAAGTACCATATCTTAGTGTGCTCGGGGCATTAATGTATCTTGCTAATCATACAAGACCAGACATATCATTTTCTATCCACTTATTACAAAGATTTAGTTCTTCCCTTGCTCGAAGAGATTGGATGGCATAAAACATTTACTAAGGTATCTTCGAGGAATAATGGATATGAGTTTGTTCTATTCAAATTTACCTAAAGATGACTTAGTGGGGTACGCATATGTTGGATATCTGTCTGATCCACATAATGGTCGATCACAAATGGGTTATTTGTTTACATATGGAAATGCAGCCATTTCATGGAGATCCATAAAACAAACTATAACAGCCAGATCTTCTAATCATGCATAAATTTTAGCGACACACGGAGCAAGTTGTGAATGTGTTTGGTTGAGATCCATAATTAAAAATCAAAGAGACTTGCGGGTTTTCTCCTGAAGAGATGATTTCGACTGTCATGTATGAGGATAAAACATATTTCACCAATTGAAGGAAGGATATATCAAAGGCAACAGGACAAAACATATTTCGCCAAAAAATTTCTTCACTCACCATCTTCAAAAGAATGGTAAAATAAAAGTACTCCGGATACGTTCATGCGATAATCTAGAAGATTTATTGACAAAGTTACTTTCTACTTCAACATTTGAGAAGCTAGTTTACAAGATTGGAGTTCAATGACTCAAAGATGTTCAATGATGTCGCGATAAGGGGGAGTAGATACGAACTGTACTATTTTTTCCTCAATTATGGTTTTTTTTCTATTGGGTTTTCCTGATAAGGTTTTTAATGAGTCTGTATACAAAAGCGTATTACAAATAAAGTACTCTTGAACTATAGACATCCAAGGGGGAGTGTTATAATATATGTATTAGTGGATGTCCACCCTCCACATCACCATCTTCCCGACCTCCTCCTAATGACATTGATTGATATAGGCTTGCTTATTGCCTATAAAAGTAATTCTAGTGAAGAAGAGAAGACACACCAAAAAGCTTCATAGCTTATACAACTCTTTATAGTCTTTAGCCATTTGTAGTATGTATTATAAATGTACTTAATAAAGAAGTTGTTCTACTCCTTATATTTTCTCGTGAGTTCCGGAGTTTATGTTTCATAACAATTTTGAACTTTTTATGGTCAACGGGTCAGGCATCAAGCTAGTTTTCACATATTATGTCAGGGTTTGTATCAATTTTAAAGATGCAATATGTAGGCCTCCAATAAAAATTTGGAAACGATGGGCCTGGCCCACTTCAAAAGATTAAAGCGATTATGCGCTTTACGGGCAAATCGAAGGGAATTCATTCTCCATCGCAACCCTGACCAGATGCGAAGCGTGCCAGCCCAATCTTGTGTTTAACATAATGTTGGCAATTAGTATCCAAATTTAAGAATCCAATTCATCTAATAAAATATTCATGAACATTTGATAAATTATGATTTAGTACCTATACTATTTATCTTTTACATTTTAGTACCTAAAGTTTATTTTTTAGACAAAAAATATCATTGAAAATTTACATTTTTGTACCTAAATTTTTTTCTCGTGACATTTTAGTATCCAAAATTTTCAAAATTTATATAAAAATCTAAGACTTTATGTCGTTTGGATCCACCAACTTAATCCACCAATGTATGTTATATTATGTAGTGTTTAGTGTTTACCATGCTGGAAAGCCGTGGCTGAGGGAAACAGGGAGTTGTCTGGACGCTAGCGGGCCATATGCACCTCTCTCTGATTATAGATACAGCTTTCCTTATCTTACTAATTTCTCAACCTTACAAAATACGAAACAATGGCCAACCCGAAAGACAAGCATTGGGGATGCCCTGAGGTCTGAGCTTGTCTTTCTGACTTGCTCTGCTGTTTGGCCCTTGTCCCACTTTGGCCAACAAGCCATCCAAGTTGATTCGCCAGGCCGAAAGAGTGATTAGCCAGGCCGAAAGAGCAAGAAAAATGGCAGCAGCATCCAATTGTTCCTCCTGCTGCCAGCTGATGCAAGGTGCAGTACAGCAGCGGCGGCACAGCCCGGCGGCAGTGAAGAGGGCGTTGGTGGACGGTGGCGGCTGCCGGAGCTGGAGCAGGAAAGTGCCGTTGCAGACTAGGAGAGCAGCGACAATTCGCTGCAACTTGCGCAACGACAGCGGGAGAGGGATTTTGGAATTCATTGGTGGGGATTTGGCGAGGTTCGATTTGGGGCAGTGGCTGTCGGACGTGGAACAGCACAAATCTCTCGCCATTTACCCGCCGCACGAGGGCGGCTACGAGGGCCGCTACTTCACCCGCCTTCGTTACGACGGCTACTATTTCCTCGACCTCACCGCTCGCGGGCTGGGCGACCCGGAGACCACTCTCACCAAAGTCCATCCCGTTTGCCCCGTCAGTACTAGTACTACTACTGCTGTTTTCTAACCCCTCTGTTTCCCTGATCACAATTTGAACACTCAGCCGCCTTTCACCACAGGCACATCTGGGGAAGCAACCAATTGCCAGGTGGTATTTCCCGCCTGAAGTGGACTATCGACTTGCTGCGCTTCCACCAGATGCCAAAGGCCTCATCGTCTGGGTAATCGAAGCCAAGGTACAATCATAATTACTGGTTTGCCTCAACAAAAACACCTACTTGTGTAACATAGAACGTCAAAAGCCAGATGACCCATTCATCCATCTGCAGGTTCTTTCCAAGGCTGAGCTGCAATTCCTCGCATTGCTTCCAACACTCCGTCCCAAAGTCCGTGTCATCGCCGAATGCGGCAACTGGTACAACAATCTCAACTCTCTTTCTCCTTCAATCTCACTCACCAAAGAAGGGTACTGGATATTTTGACCTTTACCTGAAACCTTTACCTCGTGGCTTGACCAGGAGGCAGTTTGTGTGGAAGCCGCTGAAAGAGATCTCTGGACTGACACCTGAGACTGAGGTTGCTTGACCACCAAACCGAACACCTTTCTCTATTCCTTCATGCCTCACAGTAGACTCAGGCACTACCCTATTTGTATTATATGCTCAAAACAGGGATCTTTGTAAAGATACAGAATTTCATTTGCACTACATTTACATGCAAATTACCAAGTTATCTCCCGCTACTGTGACTTTACATACAATACAATCGGTCACTAACTAAGAGCTTGTGTTTAGAAGAAGATCTTGGCACACACCTTCAAATATAAGTTCAGGTTTGCCGTGCTGATCGTTAATTTACACACCCAGAGAGTTTTGAGTGAACCACCTCTAAATGTGATCACAATCACATCACCTTCTCTTGGGCCGTCTTCTGCTATCGACGTCGAGCAACCTTGATGATGACGAACCCGGCTGAGTAGTCCATAGACCAACAGATTCAGGAATGTCAAGATTGGCACTCATAGATTGGCTTGCTGCCACACCACGCTTCATGTCAATGACTTTGAACCTTGACTGCTCAATCTGTTTGTGAAAACAACGTGCTCAACCTCAGTAAATGAATAAACAAACAACACAATATTGAGGAAAAAATGAAGCGGGTGACCGATTTCATCTACCAGTTCAAGGTGGTGTATTGATGATTGTGCATCAGCGATTTTCCTTTGAAGCTCATCTGACTTCTTCTTCTGGTATTCATCATTCTCCATCTGATTTCCAACCTCACCTAACCCTTGATACAAATCTACACAAAATGCAAGGGGGGAAAAGAGAGGAAATTTGGCACAAATTGCAGGGAGAGGGTCAGCAACCATACTCAGCCTTGCACATACATGGATTGATAAACTCTCCATCATGGACTATCCGAACAAATATGGACTTTAATACGAACAATACTTTAGATGGAAAACATGCGCCAGTTTTATGTACATGCAAAGTGCTGTTAACAGCATGAACAGAGGCAAAACTGGAGCATATATCCATCCAAGGATGTCTCTGGTAAAGTGCCTACTACCAAAGAAGTTTGATGAATCACCACATGTAAATGATTTCCAACATTGTGGAGACCAGACTTTGGCATGAGATCAGTGAGGATGTACCTTTCAGAACCGAAAGCACCCATATCTGAGTCGGGACATCATAAAGCTTCTTTGCCAGCGTAAGGGCAGATCTCAGAATTTCTCTAGCTTGTATAGTGTCATGCAGGGAGAGTGCCAAATGCCCAAGAATGGTCAAATACTGTGAAATGAGTTGAAGATTCCCTGTGCTAGTATGTGCAATCTGCAATCCTTTAGCCAACTTAGTTCTGCACAAAAGATATAAAGAAAGATTCCTGGTAGAGTAACCGTTTAATTCAATTGCAAAAGCTTTGCTTGCACCTCAGTTGAGGAAACAGCAAGAGGAATATCTATGGATCAAGTAGCAATTGAAATTTGGGTCTACTGTTGTCCACTTTGTTTGCTGCCTCAACAGCATATGCATCAGGTCCAGTTCCAAGTGACACAGGAGCTACATCTACAGACAGTCTCTATTTAGGATCGGTATGTTTGAGGCTAGAGCAAATGAGCTTTGTACAATATGAGAGATATATTAACTTTTTGCAGCTTGATTTAGAACTCCCCGTATTTTATTGAACCTGTGCTGAAAGGAGGACGAGAAAGAACCCAAAAGGAGCATCTTAGGTGGAACTTCCAAGACTGCATATTATCATCACCCAATTTTCCAGGTGGTGATAGAATGGACTTCCTACCACTTGTTGTAGGACAAAGAGAATTACTGAGTAATACTATCACTGCACGACTTGCAAGAACAAATTCTGGGTAGATATCTTCCACAGTTAAACTAGTTTAAGATATTTCTTGATCATAAACAGTATGTACCGTGCTTCTTCGTAATCATTCTGCCTGACCAATAGAAGGCCATACACAAAATGCACATTTGCCTCCTCTCGCACCCCAACATAAGAATCTTTCATTCTATAAACTGGTCCAATCAGATCAAGTGCCTACACAAAAAAAATCTTAAATTAAGTTATTGAACCTCAAACTTAGTGGATAAACCATTAACTGAAATAACAAGATAGCTATCTGCTAATAAATAGAGTATGGAACCTGTGCCAATGATTCAGCATCCCCACTGCAGAAATGAGAGATAGCAGCATAAATGTGGCACATAGCTTGCACAGATTTACTCTCCGTCATCTAAAAATATATAACACAAACAATAAATTCAAATACAGGAAAACATCGATTGACATTTAGGTTGACTATTAGATGAAGCTAGTGCAACAAATATGAAACCATACCTTTGCTGCTTCGATGAAATGAAAAGCGGCTCCACTATAACAACCAACGTAATGAGCATATTGGCCCCTGAGCAACTCGATAACACTCTCACAACCTTGCAAGATAGTTGGAAAGCGAACGAACAAATCTTTCATTCGCAGCAATGTCTGACAGTGTGATAGTTTTGATTAGCATTATCTCTTGATGAGTTCCAGAAAACAAATTGAAAATTGCAGATACAGATTACACCATATGCCAGCAATCATGCTACAAATTCCATGTTACACTTTTTAGAATTCCCCAACCTCAACATCACCGGTACTCTACCAGTATATTAACACATCTCCAGACTTAAATGAGTTAGCTGGACAAAGGAATGGAGGTAGATTTATGTGTGCATGCGTGTGTGTCCATATTAGTTGATGATATCCTTTGAACTAACCCTTGCTCATAGATAGACATGGGTTTGTCTAAAGACTGTTGAACATCCATATTTCATAACTCATAAAGAAGTGTCAATATCTATAAACAGATACAGACAATATTCAACTATGCGCCCCAGCTAAAGGTAAGCTGGAAGTGATGAAGAGAGAATTGGCAGGACTAAACCTTGGATCCTGCAAACAAACCACCAACCTGTTGTGCAGCAACAAATTCAGACCGAGTAAGCTCCAAGGCAACATTGTTCTCCAGTAACTGCATTAGCAATATCAAATACACGCCAGCCATCCAAATCGAAGAGTGCTGCACATCCACTTCTGCTCATAGGAAATTACCAAACTGGAATTGATAACATATTCACTGGAGTTGTATCATACATAGCATCATGAGAACATTCTGCTAACCTCTAACACCTTCATTGATCCCAAGTTTTGCCAGCTCTCCTGTGATAGAACAAAAGGCTAACAAATTAACATTCAAACTTGAATGAGATGTGGTGAGTGTTTTATTATTTAATACAAGCTCGATGCCGTAAATCATATACTATGGTACTATACAAGTGCCACAAGTTAAACATGTAAATTTGTAAAGATTTCTATACAAGCAGTTAGGATGAGGGATAAATATAGACATTCATCTACAAACCAAGGGTGGTTCTCATTCCAGACTGTCAGATGTTTGTTTTATAGAATTACTATATAATTTAGGCTTCATACATTTACGTGGGTAGAAAACTAGCTCTGAATATAGATTACACAGCCAAAAACAACATGATTGACCAGTACCACATATTATATATACTAGAACTTAGTCTCACATACTGGGATAAGGTCAAAGAGGGATAGCTCTGATTCAATAAAAGAGAAACCTTGGATAGTTTGTATTCCAGATTGAATCCGCTTTGCACACTCCTTGAATAGCCCTCTTGGACGGCCGAACACAACCACCATAAGGTCAACCAGAGAGTACACAGCACTTTTCGGCAGCCACTCCCCATCAACAGGAGGAGGTGCTAGGAAAAGCTTATCTTGCCATGCTCGAGATGCATTCCCAAAGTAGGCAGGTTCCAGAGGTTGCTCTAGGAAGGAACTAAATGCACTCAGACTTGTGATCTGATCTTGAAGATGGGCTTGCTTGGTAGAGAGTAGTAACCTCTCTCTGTTTGGTAGGTCAGACCTCGACAAACTTTGACTGATGGCATTAAGTTCATTGGACAGTCGCTGTATTTCTCTCATTTTCTGCAAGTCTGCCTTCATAGCAGCATCCAACTTGTCCACATGCTGGGTAGCGCTCTTGTAATTACAGACACGGAGTAGATAGAATATGTGTAGGAGTTCATTGTAAAAGAACAAGCCTAAGCATTGTTCTGTCTTAATTGTAGCAAGCCGGATTGAAGTGTCAGTATGACAGAATACATGTTCTTTTGAGAAATGCTAAACAAGTAGAGAAGCAGACAAGGAAAAGATGCCAATTAATAAAATGAGAATGCAAGAGCTTACTTTATCCGGGGAGAGCGAGCCCCAAATCTCGTCGCATCTGTGAAGAGCACTCTGAACTAGGTTATCATCAGGCCATTGCATAAGGTGCACATGAAGGATCGAAGTGGCAAAGAACATCTGATACAACCCATTTCAAACGGCAGTAAGCAACAGGCAGCTGGGAATATGGTAAGAAGACAACGATGGCCTGATCAATAGAAGCCTGTAAAGAACGAAGTCTATAAACTAGCATATGTAGAGAACAAGATGGCACTCCGAGTAGAAACCTGTAATTGGGGATAATATAGTTGAGTAGCAGAAGCATAACCAGACTCCAAAACAGAGAGGGCAGAGCTGCAATCTCCTTCAATGATCAAAGCATTGGCGAGCTGGGAATTGAAGTTACAAGCCCAGAGGTTTGCGGATACACTGAATTCACACCAACCCAGGAGGAAAGGAACACAGCAAGAAAAATAGCACTCATATAAGTATCTGTCAAAAGGAAAGAGAAAGGAAGGGATCAATGTATGGAACAGAAGGGCATCTAACTCTGAATTGGCAGAAGCAGTAAGGTCAAGGGCCTTGTGAAGAATCTGTTTCTGGCGATGAATGGCGCCGACAAGGTGATAACACTGGCTCAACAAGCTGAAGGTGCGACACTTCAAGTCGAAGCAGGAAGGGATGGATTTCAAGAGTAGCTGAGAGCGCTCGAGGTGGGATTTAGCGTGATTGGCGTTGTGGGTATGCTTGAGAAGGAGAGTGGCGAGTCGAAGACGGGTCTTGACCTCAATGATTGGCAAGAAGGAGTCGTGGGACTGGCAAATGGCTTCCAAACACTTTATGGACTTGGCTATCTCCCCTTCCTTCTCGTGGTGGTCCGCCAGTCCCCATAGCCCTTCCGCTACTGCTTCCATTTCAGTTCTTCTCTAGCAACCAAACACCAGCGCCGGCAAGCTATCCAGTTGCTCCGCCCACATCAAAATCAAATGTTAATCAGCTCCATTTCCTCCTCCTCCTATGATTCCAGCCCGGCTGGTTTCACGCTAACATGATTACACAACTGGCCAGAGTCCTTCTGTAGCCTTGAAGTAGATTTGCGGCGGTTAAAGTCAATCAACAGATCGTTACTCAAACTGAATCCCTATTTGCCGCCCGACCTTTTACTATTTGCCGCCCATAATTAGAAAAAAAAAAGACAATTTTGCCCCTAACCCTATCCCACCCTCAACCCATCTGCCGCCACTCCCCTTCAACCCTCCTTCCTCCTGCCGTCCTCCCGCCGCCGACGACCCTCCTCCTGCCGGACCTCCCGCCGCCGCCGACTCCTCCCTCCTGCCGAGCCCAGAAGCTGCCGCCGAGCCAAGAAGCTGCCGCCAAAGAGGACGCCACAGCAGCGCCGCCGCCGCAAATCGAGTCTTCCTCGCTCGTTCTCGCCGCCGGCAACCTCCCAAGCTCGGCGAAGAGAATTTTTTTTTCAGTCGCCGTCCGACTGGCCGGAGCGGACGCGGTCCGCCCGGTCTGGTCGGACCGATCTAATTGGGTTTATGATTCGGTTTGAATGGTTCGGTTTAAATAAATATTTATTAGATTTATTTTAAATACAATTGTTAGTATCTTAATTAGTTTAATATTGATAGTTGAATAATTAGTATATAATTGTTAATTTGACCACAGTTGGTTGAGGGAATTAGGGTTTGACTTAATTAGAGTTTGACCCGAATTAGGGTTTGACTAAATTATATATTATTTGACCATAGTTGGTTGAGGGAATTAGGGTTTGACTTAATTAGGGTTTGACTAAATTATATATTATTTTGGCCACAGTTTTTTTAGGGAATTAGGGTTTGACTTAATTAGGGTTTGACTTAGGGTTTGACCCGAATTAGGGTTTGACTTAATTAGGGTTTGACCCGAATCAGGGTTTGACTAAATTATATATTATTTTGACCACGGTTATTTGAGGGAACTAGGGTTTGACTTAATTAGGGTTTGACCCGAATTAGGGTTTGACTTAATTAGGGTTTGACCACAGTTGAAATAATCTCACCCAAGATGACGGATAACAACAATAAGAATCAACTCGACTCAACTGGACCAATAATGACAATAAAGAAGGAAAGCATCTCATCTATCTCCTATACCTTATACTCCTCTGAAACCCTAAACCCTCATTCCCCTTGAATAGCTACCTTCAACCTCGATCCATCCAATCCTACTAGGAAATTATTTTAGAGGCAAAATCATCTCTTCCTCCACTAACAATAATATTTCGTCTCGTGGAAATATACGTGATAGGCTCAAGAAAATCCTAGTTACCACCCCCGGAGCCCTAAAAACACCTCGATGAAAGTTTTGGCACTATTCATCTCTTTTCGTCGGGAATGTCCGATTGATAAACAATCGATTCCAACACATTTGTATCCACATTTTAAGAGATCGATGAAAGTTTCAATATTTTTTCATGTCGGTGACTCTAGTAATTGCTAAAAGATGTTTTTGCCCGACCTTCCCCGAGCCGCAAAGAGTCCTCTTCGTGCCTCGATTCCTTGGAAGTTTTATAAAACATAATTTAGGTACGATGATCTTATTAAATATGAAATAAATACAATTAAAAAGGTTTAATCAAAATTTATAAATATTTTATAACTATTCTACATAATTAAAATGAATTATTTATTTATTTTAGCTCTATTTACATAATTATAACATAAGTAAGAATTAGTTTGTACAATATTTTTTATAATTTAATTTTTTTTCTTATGAATAATTTTTAGTTTTTCTAATTCATAAATATAATTAATAAACATACATATAATTATTAACATGATATAATATTAAAAAAATAGAAGATTGAGTTAAATAATTATTATCATTTAGCGACGAATTTTGTGACGGTTTTGAAACTGTCGCTAATGCACGGTCCGCTCGCCGGGGTCCTCCCGCCGGCGTCGGACGGGGTCCTCCCGCCGGCGTCGGACGGGGCCCGCCGCCTACTGTGATGATTTGGTTCTGGCCGTGGTGGTGATCTGGTGGTGGTGGCGACGCCGGCGATTTGGCGACGATGGTGGAATGGCGCCGGCGGCAGCAGGAGTGGCGGGGCCGGCGATGGTCTATTGTCGGCCGCAGTGGTGGTCGCTCGTGTTGTGGTGGAATGAGGTTTGTTTTATAAAAAATGAACAAAGGGTAAAAATGTCATTTTAGTTTAATTTACGGGCGACAAATAGTAAAGAGACGGGCGGCAAATAGTAACCCTCTACACAAATTCAAACAAACACAAGTCTGGAATCAACTAAACCCAGTTACGGTAGTCAATTCGACTCTTCTCCGGTTCCGCGGATGGTATGGTTTGACTTGGAAGAATGACCGACCTCGTACCCTGAGCCGTATTGTACGATGGTTTGTGAAACTCTCGAAAGTTCTTGTTTGTGTAAGATCATCTCCATCCATACCTAAAGTTGATTAGCAATTACTAAAGGGTTAATACCTTAGTTTGGCCCGAACTATAGACAAACTTTCTACTTTGGCCCGTGGTATCGGAAATTGCTATTCTGGCCTAAATTATGTAGTATACTTTTTTATTTGGCCCGGAGGCGGGTTTGACCGTCAAATTAGACGGTCAACTCGGTTGACCGTTAGTCAAAGTCCACCTCACTTGCCACGTCAGCTATCAAGGAATAAAAAAATTATTATTTTTTGAATTTTTGAGTTTTGGTTACTTTCTAAAATTAAATAAAAATAATTTGGGGAGCTTTTTTAATTATTTTTTCGTTTATTATATTTATTATTAGAAAGTAAAAATAATTCAAAATACAAAATTAATTTTTTATTCCCTAATAGTTGATGTGGCAAGTGAGGTGGACCTTGACTAACGGTCAACTTGGTTGACCGTCTAATTTGACGGTCAAACCCGCCTCCGGGCCAAATAAGAAAGTATGCTACATAGTTTAGGCCAGAATAGCAATTTCCGATACCACGGACCAAAGTAGAAAGTTTGTCTATAGTTCGGGCCAAACTAAGGTATTAACCCATTACTAAAAGAAATGTAGTCCTTATATAAGTTATAACCACATCTTCAATTTTAGAATTGACAATTTTTAGCCTTCACCAATCCTAAACTATGGTAGCAATTTATAATCTCATCCATAAATTTAATCTAATTCAAAAGTTACTAAATAAGAAAATATAAAAATAAAAACAATTACCTACGTGGCATTGCTAGAGACGTGAGGGTGCTTCCTAAGACAATTTTTTAACAATCTAACACTGTAACACATCCTAGACTAGGGTTCACAACATCAAAGCGAAATAGGATACTACTCCATAGTTAGAAGTATGGATGACAAACAAGATTCGCCCTGATGGATATTCCCCGATCTGACCTGCAATGGGCGGATAAAATCCGATCCACACTTGAACGAGGCGGATCTCGACCTAACTCGTGCTAAGAACATATTGAACTTGGATATTTAATTGTAAACCACCATGCCCCACTCCGCCCTGTTAAAGCCCAATGTTTGATGTTGGGTTGAGATATAGGCTTTTTGTAAATGGATTTTTTGTAAATGGGCTATGTAACTATACTAGAGAACTAAAGAACCCTAGCTATATATATAGTGACGTCTTCGATGCACTCACTTTTTTGGGTGCATTCAATGCACTCATCTTATAACCGTCATTTTTAACATGCGAATCATGTAAAACTAATGTCAATCATCACTTATGATGTGATGAACAATAAAGCACATGAATTCGCACAAAAACCATTCAAGATTTACTTTAATTTGAAGGATTTAGAGTTTAGAGATTTAGGGTTAGGGTTTACAATTTTGGGATTTAGGGATGTAATTCAAAATTGGAGGTCTAGGGCTTAGGGTAATACATTAATTAGTTGGGGTCCTATGTTATATCATCATATTACACTAATTATACCAATTAAAATTCAAAGTTCGACACCTTAAGACTAGTTTTAGAGTTGGGTACATTGAACACACTCATTTTTGTAAGTGTACCGAAATAGTCACTATATATATACATGTGTGTGTAATTATGTTGCACTTGGGAAGGCAAGCAGCCTTCTGCCGAAAGATAAGAAGAGGGAACACTTCTCAATTCCAACTCTCATGTTCTCATTTCTAATTCCTTCTTCTTTTCACAAACCCATCCCCAATTCTCTTAACTTTAATTAGTTCTCATAACTCTCAACGAGAACTTCTTTGCAACTTCTGATTTCGTGTAGTCACTCGAGTTTCAATGTCTAGTTTCTTCTTCAAATTTGGATTCAAACATCTTGTCGTCACTCCGAAGCATCTCTTCTCTCTGGTATCGTTGAAGAACACGAATTGATTAGCTTTTCATCCTGTTATGATCACAACATTGTTGTTCTCCGCATCATCAATGAGTCAGGTGGTATTTGTGTCTTTCTCATCTCCAACTTCTTCTGGACACCGCCCAACTTTCAGATCCCCTTCAAATACAGGTGAGAAGGAGAAGCGGAAGGGTTTTAAGTGATAGTATGGAGCATGTCAGATTTTACCCGCTCCATGCTAGTCAGTGTTTGGAGCGAAAAGTGTTGACCCGTCACGGGGCGCGGGAAGATCGGGTCAGGAATTCAAGAGCATAGCAGGGCACGAATTTAGCACTATCCGGTTTGAACATGCCCGTTGTGATTCTTAGTTAGAAGAGAAAAATACAAATAAGATAGAGGGAAAACCCATAGCAAAGTTATTCTCCCTCTTCTTAGATGCTTGATTCAATCATTGGAGAAGAAATCTTTCTTCCTCTAGCCTTGGGTAGGCCAAATTCTCCTTCCTTCATTCTTAGCTCATAGCTCTCTCTCTCTCTCTCTCTCACTCACTCTCTCACTAAGCCTTAAAGAGAGGAAGCCTCCAATCTCTCTCTAGAACTCTCTCCTTTC